GATTTCTGTCATGCCTCAGACCCTTCAAATTGACAAGTCCCATGGATGGGACAAAGCAGTACTGTGAGTAAAGAGGCACAAATCCTCTAGTCTTAACTCCTTAGGATGAAGTTCCTAAGGCTTGGGGAAAAGTAATGAGAGACTTTCCAATACATGGGAGCAGGGCTGGGGGCAGTGACAGCAATAACATTATCTTTAAGAGAATGAACTCAGTCAGGTGTGCTGGTGCTTGTCAGTAATCCCAGCACTGCAGAAGCTGAGGCAGAAGGATCTTAAGTTTGAGGCCAGCCTGGGCTACATAGTGAGTTGAAGGCAGCATGGACTACACAGTGAGAACCCTGCCTCAAAAAAAAAAAAGGATAAAAAAACCCAAAATAACCCAAAAGAGCTGGGCACTAGTGTCACACCTGTAATCCTACCTACTCAGGAGGCAGAGATCAGAAGATCATGGAAGATTGCTCAGCAATCTATCCAAATAAAACTTCACAGAAGTAGGGCTGGTGGAGTGGCTCAAAGTGAAGGCACTGAGTTCAAGCCCCAGTACCAAAAAAAAAAAATTTTTTTTTGCCAGCATGAAGCCCTGAGTTCAAATTCCAATCCCCACCACCACACACACAAATTTAAATGGTAGGCAAGTTTCCTCACTATGAAAAGGAACACAGGAATATTTCCAGAAATTTAACAAAGCATGCTTCAAAACTATGACTAGGAAGCATGCGTGTAAACTTAATGATAAGAATATTGATTATATTTAAGGAAAAGATTCTCAGAAGCTTAAAAGAATAAGGAACAGATCTCTAAGATCTTTTTCACTCTATAATTCTATTTAAGCATAAATAAAAGTTTTAGCAAAATAAGATCATTGATATTTTGGTTTTAAGAAGACCAGACTTGTGTTTGGTGAGCAAGCAGATGAGGCAAAACTATACTAGAAAGCTGCCATTTTCCTTCTCTCAGTGGCTAGGCAGAATAGGAGGCATGGGCTGGCTTCTCTTGAGATTATGAGATCTTTTTTATAGCTATATCTTAAGTTTTTATCATAGAAAATTTCAAAGTATAGGAAAGGACAGCAGAGTTGATACTTATTGTACCCATAACCAACTTATCAAAGAAGACAAATACATAAATTTGGATCATTTTTAAAACAAATTCTAGATATTATTTCATTTGTAAATACTTCACTAAGCAAAGGTCTTAAAACAAAATGCTGGTGGCATTACCTGTAATCCTAGCATGCTAGGAGGCTGAGGCAAGCAGGATGTCACTTTGAGGCAGCCGGGACTACATTCTGAGGTTTGCCTCAAAAAACAACAGGTTGGGGTGGACTCAGTAAAAACACTGGTTTGATCCCCAGCACAAAAGAACAGAGGAGGAAAGAGGAGAAGAGGAGGAGGGGAAGGAAGAGGAAGGAAAGAAACAAAGGTTTTGCTGGTTCTAAAAGATCATAGGTTTTATTGAAAATCAATCAGAAAAGGCTAGGGTGGGTAAGCTTCGGCTGTAGAGCCATGGTTAGCATGCAAGAGGCCCTAGGCTCCTCCAGTATGGCAAAAGCCAAGAAACAAAACGCAACAGGATGCATTGCCTCACTCCATGAAACCTTTCTTCCTTTTTTTTTTTCTTTTCTTCTTCCTTTCCTTCTTCCTTTCTTTCATTTTTTTTTTTGTGGTACTGGGCTCGAAACTCAGGGCCTTACCTTGACCACACAGCAGTCCTATTTTTGTGAGGGTTTTTTGAGAAAAGGTCTCATGAGCTATTTTCTCCAGGCTGGCTTGAACTGCAATTCTCCTGATCTGCTCCTGAGTAGCTGGGATTACAGGTGTGAGCCACCAGTGATGGCTCTTTCTCCTCCTCCTCTCCTTTCTTCCTCCTCTCCTCTCCTACCTCCTCTCCTCTCTCTTCTCCCTCTTCTCCCTTCCCCCTTCTTTCTTCTTCTAGTGGTACTGGGGTTTGAAATCAGGTCCTTATGCTTATCAGGCAAGTGCTCTACCAGTTTACCCCACCCCATCTCTTTTTGCTTTAGTTTGTTTTTCCAGATAGGGTCTCACCTTTTCTTGGACTAGCCTAGACATGAATGCATCCTACCTACACCTATTTTTTTTTTTTTTTGGTTTTGATCTGGTTTTTTTTTTTTTTTTTTTCATTTTTCTTTTATTATCATATGTGCATACAAGGCTTGTTCATTTTCTCCCCCCTGCCCCCACCCCCT